ACTTTTATTATTTTAGGTTTAGAAATGAAAATGTTAAGAATTGCGTCTTTACGACAAATGGAAAATGAATCAGATTTACTTGACTTACGCAGTGATTTTTAATTTTTAGGATCTTCTACATAAACTAGCAATTATGATGATGCAGCCATCAAATGGCATGTAATTATATCCATGACATAATGGATAATGTGCACCCTTTTAAATGAAAAAAAATTCCCTAAAGTAATTATTGGACGATGAAAATAAATTAATTCAGTACTTAAAGAATGAAAATTACTGTGATCCCTGAAGCAGTCTATATGCATATATAGATTCTTTCATGTGAAAAATTACAACAGAAAATTGCTGAAATATTAAGACAATATAGCACCCACTGCCTTTTCTACTATAAATTCAGTCTTACCACTTAAGATGGTAAATTTCCAGAGAGGCTGGTAAGCAGATGTTTCATGGCTTTTAAAAGTTGGATCAGGATTTGGGCCAAGTACTCTGTCTCTGGGGCCCACACACTTAACCCCTAACTAGAGCTGCAGCCGGTAAAAACAAATTTAGTAGGAATAACCTTTCTTCCTTCTCCCTCCCCTTTTCCCCCTACTGTCCCAACCACCCAACGAAAGTAGATTGGTGTTATAAAATTCTAGAACACCATCTTAAATATGCTAATGTTGGAGATTACTTTGCTAAACTACACATACTTCTAATGTATGGCAGTTGTATCTTGGAATATTTCATATTACCATTGCAGAAGTGCTCTGTTTTACTACATTGTTAAAACTGCTTTGATCTTTTAGACCCCATCTGTATAAAAATATCCACAGTAAGGGTCGGTGTTACCTCTGAAGAAGATAGCTGCTAGTGAGTTATCATGCACTTAATCCAGTTGATTCCATGGAGACAAGGCAGCCCCCAAATCATAAACTGATTATAAAATAGTTTATTTAATGGGTTTTTGTAGACCCATGCTCAGGTTTTCATAATGGTTGTTGTGCCATAGAATTGCAAATGTTTCATAAAATTTAGCTACTTGCCTTTTTTTTTTTTTTAAAGATTTTATTTATTTATTTATTTGACAGATAGTGAGAGCAGGAACACAAGCAGGGGGAGTGGGAGAGGGAAAAGCAGGCTTCCCGCAGAGCAGGGAGCCCGATGCCGGGCTTAATCCCAGGACCTGAGCCGAAGGCAGACGCTTAACAACTGAGCCACCCAGGCGCCCCTAAATAAAATCTTTAAAAAAAAAAAAATGTTCCAAGAGACAATGTTCATGATAGCAAAAAACTGAAAACAATCTAAATATCCACCAGCAGGAAAAGACATAAATAAATTATAGTATATTCACTTTCTGATGGCTGAGAAATATTCCATTGTATTTATAAACAATGAATATAATTAGTAGTCTTTGAAGGCCATCAAAGAACATCAGGCAAGTGTTAAAAGAGCTGACCTTATATAAAATGAGTTAATTAAAAATTTTAAATTAAAGAAATTCTCTAAGATGCTACAGGTATCATTACATTGTATAACTGGTCTTTGGCACTAATGAAATAAATGAATATTTTCTGTGTGACTGTCCAAAGCTCAAAATATGTAACTGACACCTGATTTCTAGATTCGGCAGCATTATAAATGGTCAAACACTAATTTGTCCTACATTTCACTTATTTCTGAGGTGAAACTCTTCCTTTTTCCTTTTATATTGATTGCCTTTTTCCCACTGCAGAAGTATCTAATCCCTAATTCTCTAATCAGAAATATTCTAAAAGACCATAGCAAAATTCTAAAAGTTTCAATTATGGCATCATTATCCCTGGTCTGGACCCACAAATCTAGCTTTTAAGCTAGGTAGAGAATTTTAGATTATGTCGGAATTTATTGATGGGGAAAAAATCATCACTTGCTCTGAAGTCAAGGTGGGTTTGGTGGTGTTCAATTGAGCTGGAATGAAGGGAGTTAACTATAATTAAAGATAAATTATGGGGAGCCTGGGTAGCTCAGTTGGTTAAGCATCTGCCTTTGGCTCAGGTCATGATCCCAGGGTCCTGGGATTGAGCCCCGCATCGGGCCCCCTGCTCGGCGGGGAGCCTACTTCTCCCTCTCCCTTTGCTGCTCCCCCTGCTTGTGGGCTCTCTCTCTCTCTGGCAAATAAATAAAATCTTTTTTTTTTAAAGTAACTACTGAAAACATACAAACATTCTTAAATCAAACCCTCCAATTTGTTTTGTTTTTACCATTAAGTGCTATGATTTAAATTGTATTGCACACACTTCCTATCTTTTTTTATTTAAATTCCATTTGCCAGCATATAGTACATCATTAATTTCAGATGTAGTGTTCAGTAATTCATCAGTTGCATATAACACCCAGTGCTCATCACATCACGTACCCTCCTTAATGCCCATCACTCAGCTGCCCCATCCCCCCACCCACCTCCCTTTCCGCAACCCTCAGCTTGTTTCCCATAGTCAAGAGTCTCTCATGGTTTGTCTTCGTCTCTGATAACTTCCCAGTTTTCCCTCCTTTCTCCTATGATCCTCTTCACTATTCCTTATATTCCACATATGAGTGAAACCATATAATTGTCTTTCTCTGATTGACTTATTTCACTTAGCATAATACCCTCCAGTTCCAACCACGTCGATGTAAATGGTAGGTATTCATCCTTTCTGATGGCTGAGAAATATTCCATTGTATTTATAAACAACATCTTTATCCATCCCTCTTTTTAAGGACATCTCAGTTCCTTCCACAGTTTGGCTAACGTGGCAGGATACAAAATCAATGTACAGAAATCAGTTGCATTTCCATACACTAACAATGTGACTGAAGAAAGAGAAATTAAGGAATTGATCCCATTTACAATTGCACCAAAAACCATAGGATACCAAGAATAAACCTAACCAAAGAGGTAAAGGATCTATACTCTAAAAACTACAGAACACTTATGAAAGAAATTGAGGAAGATACAAAAAGATGGAAAAACATTACATGGTCATGGATTGGAAGAATAAATATAGTTAAAATGTCTATGCTACCCAGAGCAATCTATACATTCAATGCAATCCCTGTCAAAATACCATCGACATTTTTCACAGAGCTGAAACAAATAATCCTAAAATTTGTATGGAACCAGAAAAGACCCCAAATAACCAGAGGAGTGTTGAAAAAGAAAACCAAATCACAATGTCTGACTTCAAGCTATATTACAAAGCTGTGATCATCAAGACTGCATGGTACTGTCTTTTAAATAATAAACACAGTGAAAAGAATTTAACTCTGGCTTAAGGACTGCATGCCTAGCACAAAGCCTTATTGATAGGAGGCATCTGATATACCAAGTGACCTTTCCTCTTAAGTGTGATAGAATACATTGTTGTTTCAGGGACCACTGAAGTTTGAAGGCCTCTTTGCATCTATAGTAAGGATCCCAGGCTGTTGTCTTTTTGTGATTGATCACTGTTCTCTTTCTTAATATCTTACATCACAGTTCAGGGGCAAAGTGGTTTAAACTACTTCTTCCGCACTTCAGACTCTGTCCCAGAAAGGCTAGAACTGAAATCACCAGAAGAAATGAGATGACTACCTTACACATCTTTAACCTCATTTTTATACCCATATTTCTCCGTAGACTCTGGCCAGCGGAGGTCCAGGGGTTCTAATACTCAGATGGGGACTCATACCTGTGTGTCTTTTGCAGGTACTTTTCCATATACCTTGTGAGCTTTCATCTTTTCTTTTTCCTCAGAGCTCTTGACTCCAGCTTCAAAGATACATTTCCCATGACATAGACAAGTTGGTTCATCTCTCTATGCCTCAGGTTCCTCATCTGTAATACGAGGGTGTTAATAGTATCAACCTCATAGGGTCATTGTGAGGATTAACTGAATTAATATTTGGACAGTTCTTAAAGCAGTAGTGCATAGTAAGGATTAAGTAATTAAAAAGGGGGGGCGCCTGGGTGGCTCAGTCTGTTAAGCATCTGCCTTCGATCATGACCCCCCCCCAGTTCATGGGAAGCCCGCTTCTCCTGCTCCTTCCCGTTCATGCTCTGCCTCGCTCGCTCTCTCGCTCTCTCTCAAATAAATAAATAAAATCTTTAAAAAAATAAACAAATAAATAAATAAAAGTTAAAAAGATTGACCACTGGTAACTGGTTTCTTAAAGAAAAGGAAGGATCTGAAAAGATGCTTCTTCTGGTTTGGGGTGATATATGCTTTCTTTCCTGAGGTAGGAACGGAGTGATATGAATGAATTTGGGGTTGAAGGAGCAGAACTGAATGGTATTACCTAAAATATCTGTCGGAAATGCTGGCCCTGAGCCTGGGTCCTGACTGGATGAAGTAATATATGGAAAAATGTTCATAGCAACTCCTTTGGGGCTCTTCATAGTAGATTTTAAAAGGAGACGGGAGAAATAAACTAGAAATATATAGCGGTGGAGGGAATTGGGGGCAAAGCTTATGCCAAGAGTTAGCAGTTATTTTCTGTATCTAACAAAGGCTAAAACAGGGTGATTCTCTGTGGAGAATACACACACACACACACACACACACACACACACACACACACAAATAGAAAGTTACATATGTAAAGGTATATAAATTTTTTTAAGCACCTGTCTGACTTAGGTGTTTTCTCAGCTTCTGTGGAGAAGGGCACCGGCCATCTGCTTTGTTAAAGAAAGCAGGCGCCACCTTTGTGTGGCATGTGCAGGGGGTGCTGTGCGGCCACCATGAAGCTCGGAACCCCTCTGTGTCACCCCAGGTGCTTCTTGGGAACCCAGTGGCAGGAGACTTCCTGTGCCCTTGGCGTGTCTCTGCCTGACTGTGCCCAGCCAGGGGCTGGCCCTGACATTCCTGGCACAGGGCTTGGTCGCTTATTCACTCTGATGGCCGCCCTTTGCCCCAGCTCCCTTGGCCAGAGGCAGCTCAGTTGTAATTTGCTCTCAGGCTCAGAGGTGCAGCCCTGTCAAACTGCAGTGTGTAAGTTTATCTTGTAATCCACAGACAAGAAGAAAGGAGGTAAATTCCAGCCTTTTAAGAAGTTGTTTGGCAGAAGGAAAAAGAAAGACACTTTGTGGTCCCAGGAGGCGTCAGCAGGGAATAAGAATCACTCTCCACAGAGTGTCAGCAATGGGAACTTCTCTTCAGATGAGGAGACCTTGGAAGACAATCTGAGGTAACAATTCATACTTTTACCCCCGCCCCAGATCTTTGGCAGAGTCCCAAGTGGGGAATGGGATCCCAGAGGAGGCGAGCATGGAATCTCTGGGAAGGCGGAAGACTTGGGTTTCTTTGTGCATTCTATGTGGAGAAGGCACCTTGGGGAATTGGTAGTGAGCCTGGCCTCATTTTCCAGGAGAGCACAGGGATCTGTGCCTTCATTTTGCTGCCCTCACTGGTGGTAGAGGCAGCACCCCACTGGTTTGGTTCAACAAGTTCACCTGGATAGCAGGAGACTGCATTCCCGTGTCCTGTTGCTTGGCAAAGAGAGAGTGGTCATAGATTAGTATGTACATCCACGTCGAGAACATACACTGCTCAGGCACAGAGTGGTCACCCTTCATACCTCTGGCAATCTCCAGCAACTTCTGGAAACTGTCAAGGGGCTTTTAACTTCTGCTCTTTGTTTTCTTTTTCTTTTCTTTAAAAATTTATTTATTTGAGAGAGCGTGAGCATGCAAGCACAAGCAGGGGGAGGGGCAGAGGGAGAGGGAGAGGGAGAGACAGAATCGCAAGCAGGCTCCCGCTGAGTGTAGAACCGACTGGGCACTCAATCCCACGACCCCGGGATCACCCCCTGAGCCGAAACCAAGAGCCGGATGCTTCACAAACCAAGCCTCCCAGGCGCCCCTGCTCTGTTTTCAGTGTTTCTCCATCTCTCCCCCACCTTTTTCTTCACCCCTCCCCTTTCTCTTTCCCTCTCTCCCTCCTTCCCTTCTTCATCTTCTCCCTCTCCCCCTCTCTTTAACTTCTTAGAGCACAGGCACTAAATCTGGCCATGACAGTGTCAAGAACTCAGAAAAGCAGGGTCAGGAGGTACTTTCTCACCTGAGTGCTGGGAACTGAAGTTGGAGTCAGAGGTGATTAAACTCTGCTACTGGCAGCTTGGAAGTCAGCTCCTCTGAGAAGCCTTTTCCTACCACCTGATCTGATTTGTTTACCCTTGCTCGCATTCCCCGAGCATCACGCACCTGGCTCCAGCAAAGGACTTGTCACTTTCTATGGAAATTACTGATTTGCTTGTCTCTCTCATTTGACTGCCAGTTCCATGAAGTCAGGGACCAGGTTTTATTCAGCCCCACATTAGGTGCTCAAAAAATGTTTCCTGTGACTTGCCCTAATACATGTGGAAGGAACGGATGATGTAGTCTGTGATATATTTACTGTGATTCAAAGACAGACATGAACAAAAACATCCTCCATGTTGTATGTCAGTAAGTAAATTCTAATACACACTACAATTGAGCACAGCCTACAAAATTCTTAGGCAAGCAGGGGACATTCATCTTGGCAGTGCTCAGAGACAGCATTTGTGGGTCCCAACTAATACTGACTCTTTTCCTCGACAGGCCTGTGTTTGTTTTCCATTATCTTTAGTAAGAAAACTATCGAATTTAACTGAAGGAAATTATTTCACTGAAAGGAGAACACAGCTAGCACTGAACTCACCCAGTTGTTGGAATGCCAGTACGTACTGATATGTGCTTGAGTATTGTTCAGAATGAATGTTTTGATTTTACTTCAGTTTCTTCAGTTGTAAAACAGGAATGTGAACCTTTTTTTTGCCTCACAGCATCAGAATGAGGTATAGGTGCTAAAGTGTGGCCAGCTAGTAGTTTAAGGCAAAATGAGGTTGAGTCTAGAAAGTTCTCTGTGAAAACACAACCTGTCCTTTTTATAATTTTGCCTAGTCCCTGATTTCTTACTGAATGACTTGGGATTTTTAGAGGAGCCTGGATCCTGGGAGTTCTCCTCTCATTTAAGTTCTATTCCATCTACCCCCTTAGAGTTTTCCTTGGGTTTTAAGTTGTACAAAGCCTTGGAATTCCATATTGGTTCAAACAGCTGCATTTTTTTTTAAAGATTTTATTTATTTATTTGACAGAGAGACAGTGAGAGAGGGAACACAAGCAGAGGGAGTGGGAGAGGAAGAAGCAGACTCCCAGCTGAGCTGGGAGCCCAACGCAGGGCTCGATCCCAGGACCCCAGGATCCCAGGATCATGACCTGAGCCGAAGGCAGACGCTTAACGACTGAGCCACGCAGGTGCCCCCAAACAGCTACATTTTTATAAAATACAGATAACGTCCTCTGTTCTTATTATTGGCTTTTGTTGATAAACCTATATTTATGAGACATACACTATATTTTAATTATTTAACAGTCATTCTTATAATAAAGGAAGCTGGAAGGTTACATTTTGGGTGAAGAGTTTTTTAAAATGTCTCTCTAAATATTTTTTAAATTAAAAAGACAAGAAAACAGGAGTCATTTAAAATATACATTCCCCTTTGCTTCTTGGAAATTGACAATTGCAAAATAACTCCACCTGCAAAGTAAATACTATATCCATTGCTTACCTTGCTTACGGTATAGCTGAGTTTCTGATTATTCGCCCTCTTTACAGATGGAGAAAATGAAAGTTGTTTCCAACACTTCTTTTTTTCACTGAAGTATAATTAACATGTTTCCAACAATTTTTATTTTCAGTTTACTGCTCAATTAATAATCATGTTACTTTAGATTGTGTAATGATTCACAAAATTTCTGTGCATTTTATTTGGTGTCTCCAAAATGGACAGCTCTCACTAAAACACAAAACTCAAAATTCTGCTAGCATGGTCTTGGGTGGAGGTTCCAAGGAGGCAAATTTCAGCCCAGGGTGAGGGAGAATTTCCTAAATACTAGAGCTGCCTAAAGCTGGGGAGGTTGGGTATGTGCCAGCAGGGGTTTGGACTGATGAAGGGGAAATTCTGCACTGGGTGAGAATTTAAAGGAGTTGAACTTTAACATGCTGTCAAACTCCAAGAATCTGTAATTCTAGAAATGTCTCCACGGCCAAAAATAGCTCATTATTGATCTGTTCCTTCTGCCTGAAATTTCTCATTTCCTTTGGGCTGTTCTTTCTCTAAGTTAGAAGCTTTTATTTCTCCTAGGCTGCTGCTTTTAAATTATACATGCCTGTGGGGAAAGCAAAATAGTAAAACATGGTCAGTTTTTAACAATTTAATGTGACTTCCTTTATTTATTAAATACAACTAAAATTGTGTTTCCCAAAATGTGTTAAGTTTAAAAAGAGGGAGAGGGTCAACTTGGCAAATAGGTTTGGGAAATTCTTGGCCAAAACAAATAGGATCCTTTACATAGGACTTTTCAGACCTTTTACTATACTAATGTGCTCTGGGAATCTCTGAGAAGGGGGATGTAGTATGGAACATTTCCAAGACTCCTTTAACCACAAACCTTTTTTTTCACAGAGAATATCCAATGGCGTATATTAAAGCTATTGCTTATTGAACTTAATGCAATGTGTTTTGCATAGGTGAACTCATAATATTCACAGGCTCTGAGATTCACATTATTATCCCCATGCTCACCCCATGCTCACCCTTTTTTTTTTTCAGAAATTGAGATTTAAAAAGATTGAGATATAATGGACATATACCATTAGTTTCAGGTGTATAACCTGATGATTCAGTATTTGTATCTACTGTAAGATGATCACCACAATAAGTCTTGTTACCATCTATCACCATACAAAGTTACAAAAAGAATTTTCTCTTGTGTTGACAACTTTTAAGATTTATCCTTTTAGCATCTTTCAAATATATAATACAAATAATATATACAATACATAGAACAATATATACAGTACAATACAAATAATAGTATTATTAACTGTAGTCACCATGCTGTGTATTACATCCCCATGACTTATTTTATAACTGGAAATTTTTGCCCCTTCACCCATTTCACCCACCCTTCAACCCCTCCCTGCTGGCAACCATCAGTCTGTTTCTGTATTTATTAGTTTTGTTTTGCATATTCATTTCTTTTAAGTTTTAGATGCCACATATAAGTGAGATCATGTGGTATTTGTCTTTCCCTCTCTGACTTAGCATAATACCCTCAAGGTCTGTCCATTATCACAAATGGCAAGATTTCATTCTTTTTTAGGGCTGAATTGTATTCGTGTGTGTGTGTGTGTGTGTGTGTGTGTGTGTGTGAGAGAGAGAGAGAGAGACATCTTTATTCATTCATCCATTGATGGACATTTAGGTTGTTTCTATATCTTGGCTAGTGTAAATAATGCTGCAGTGAACAAAGGGTGCATTATCTTTTCAAATTAGTGTTTTTGTTTTCTTCAGATAAATACCAGTAGTGGGGATGCCTGGGTGGCTCAGTTGGTTAAGCTTATGCCTTCGGCTCAGGTCATGATCCCAGGGTCCTGGGATTGAGCCCCATATCAGACTCCCTGCAGCGGGGAGTCTGCTTCTCCCTCTGCCTCTGCCCCCCACTCATGCTCACTCTCCTTTCTCTCTCTCAAATATCTTTTTTAAAAATTAAAAAAAAAAAATACCAGTAGTGGAATTGCTAGACCACATGGTAGTTCTATTTTTAAATTTTTGAGGAACCTCTATACTGTTTTCCATGGTGGCTACACCAATTTATATTTTGACCAACAGTGCACAAGGATTTCCCTTTTCTCCACATCCTTGTCAACACTTGTTATTTCTTGTTTTTTTGGTGATGGCCATTCTAACATTCATACCTCATTGTGGTTTTGATTTGCATTTACCTGGTTAGTGTTGGTGAGCATCTTTTTATGTGCCTGATGGCCATCTATATGTCTTCTTTGGGGAAATGTTTAGATCCTCTGCCCATTTTTCAAACTGTTTTTCTGTTATGGAGTTATATGAGTTCTTTATATATTCTGGGTATTAACCCCTTTTCAGATATATGATTTGCAAATATCTTCTCCCAATCAGTAGGTTGCTTTTTCATATTGTTGGTGGTTACCTTTGCTGTGCAGAAGCTTTTTAGTTTGATATAGTCCCACTTGTTTATTTTTGCTTTTGTTGAACTTGCCTTTGGAGTCAGATCTAAAAAATCATCACTGAGACTGATGTCAGTGAGCTTATTGCCTATGTTTTCTTCTAGTTTTATGGTTTCAGGT